TCTTTGCATCCTCTAGCAGCTGCTGGATTGATTTCTCATGTCCCTTACTATCTTTAAGAGATTTTGCTTTTCCTGGTCACTAATTTCAGTCCTTTATTCTATATCTGTAATTCTGTCATCACATTAGCTTATTTTGCTGTATAGGCTTTCAAAGGAGTTTTTAATCTCCGGGATATCTGTTTGCATCTGTTTTGTGGATTCCATTTGTTTCCTATATAGGGCTTCCATCATGTTCCTTGGCTTCCCTATTTTTTGTCTTTGTTAGTTCTAAAGTTATTAAATATTTCTTGCACTGTGGGCACAGTCTGTTTTTTATCTGAAAAATCTATTTCTGATTTTTTCCAGATCTTTTGTTGCCAGTTCAGGGAGTCCAAGTGCTAGAGTATCAGATTGCTCCATTTTGTTGCACTTTGGGGTTGCCTTAGGTGACCTGAAATCTGTTTTGAGACTTGTTTATGTGTTTTCCCATTTCAACAGATGCAGTCTGAAGCACCATTGTTGAGGCAACTTTTTGCCAATGCAGTGGCCTTCAATTCTCAGCAAGCTAACCAGAAGAATTTTATCTGCTGCTCACACTGACAGTATCAGTGATGGCCTCTGGCAGTTGCCTGTGCCCCTAAAGTGGGCCTTGGGCTGGGATTGTAGGTCTCAACTGCTGGGTCTGGGCTAGGACCTGCCCATAACTCTGCCCCTCTTATCCCCATGGGCTTCTCCCAGGAATCTGTGTACACTTTCTGACTGTATCAAGGTGGGCCTCTGGCTGTTGTTTGTAAGCCATTGCAGCACTTTTCCAGGCTGGCCTCTGGCTGGGCCTGTGGGTCCTGGCTCTTTTCTCTTTTCATGTGAAACATTAAAAAATTAATATTGTGCCTAGAAACTGAGAAATTCAAAGGCATAACAGATATTGGAAAGAATCAGCAAACTTGAGGACAGAACAAATGTGTCAAGTATGAAAAATAGAGAATCAGATTGCACAACAGTTGGCAGAAACAAGGACACACGGGACATGAGGAACCAGAGCAATGTGGCCTTATGAGAGAGCCCAAAAAGAGAAAAAGGACATATAAGGAAAAATAAGCACTCAACTTTTTAAAATGATGAAGAGGGAGAATATAAACATTCGAGAAAATCAAGAACTACAAAAGAATGTGCACAAGCGATTCACACAGTGCATTAAAGTCACCCAAAAGAAGATCAAACAGAAAGAGTAGAAAATGAATACAGCAATAGTAAGGGTGACTTTTCACACCCAAGTGATCTTCATAGGAAGACTTCTTCTTATAAATGTCCTTAACATGAAATGACAGCATTTGTGAAAATGAGAAATATTGGAATCCTTGGACACAACAGTGGGAATGTAAAATGGTACAGCTGTGATAGATAGGATACACTATAAACCGATATAAATGAAACAACATATGACCCAGGAAATTTACTTCCAATTTTGACATCAAAAGTATTAAGAACACAGTCCTGCACAGGGATATGGGCACCAATACTCACAGAAGCACCACTCACAATTACAAAAATACAGAAGCTTCCAATGTTGCACTGACAGATGAGTACATAAGCAAAATATAGGAACTACATACAAGGCAAATATATTTTAGCTTCAAAATCATGGGAAATTCTGACATCAACATGGATCAATCTCCACAACACTACACATGCCATTGCTGTATAACCCCAAACTATGGTCCTGCACCACCCATTGTTCTGGACAACAGGAGCCAAGCTGGAAAAAAGGAGGTGCACAGCAAGGGAGCAATGGAAGCTTCATCTGTGTCTACACTGCTCACCATATCTTCAATGACCACCTGAGCTCTGGCTCCTATCAGATCCGCATGGCATTAGTCTCTTTGGAGCATGAACCCTACTGTGGAGTGCACATGTGTGGGATCTGGGTTCCTTGCTGCCCGTGAGAATCTAAAGCCTGATGATCTGAGGTGGAGCTGAGGGGGTGATACTAACACTGGGGATCAGCTGCAAATACAGATTAAAGTTAGTAGAGAGGTTTAACTGCAGAGATCATGATAAATCAATTGCATTCAGACTCAGATAAAAACATTATCAATAAGTGGCAAATCAGAATTAAGCAGACTTTGTAGACATTGAGACTTGATGTCCTTTAGTTATACAGCTGCATCTGATAAGAGATCTTAAGTCAAATCCCACACTTACTTTGGTCTACATTGGCATATATTTATCTAATGTTCCAACTCTGTTTCTTTTATGAATTGTGTACTTGTCTCAGCTATAGTTTTGGTAAATTCACAAGCTAACCATAAACACAATAAATAAGTTAAAATTTCCCTAAATAGCTTCTCTGAATAGAGGAAAAAAAATCCAAACATGAAACGGCATAAAACTCTTAAGACTTCCAACAGACAGAAAACTGCACCTAAAAGAAAATGAGAAGTATCCTACTTAATTTACAGCTTAATTGACAAGTGATTTACATTCTCCAAGCCCACTTTGAATATTATGTGGTAACCAGCTATCCAACTAAGATATGGAAACCTCACCTCTGCTCTGGTGCATGAAAACCCAACACCCTAAGTTTACAAACAAGGCTTGGAGTCTTTGAAAGAGAAAAAATGTGAACATGAAAAAAGAAGCAATTGCAGAAGGCACCACTTCTTCAAATGTGTCTGCACTGAGAACATCATTCTTAGTGGCTGACCACACTGCTAAAACCAAGAAAGAAGACAGTCACTATTGGTAAAGAGTTGATTCTACCTGCTGATAAAGACATTTGTCAGGAACTTTTAGGTCAGACTGCATTCAGATGGTGGTATGTGCTCTTCATTTTGCTAGTGTCATTTATAGACAAATTGAGGAGTACCAGAGGATACTGGGGCACAGTACAGAGGGTTAAACAGGTTCTGATGCACATAAGGAGTCACCACCCAATTGCAACAACACAACAACAATGATGAATTTCAAGCGATGTATTTTTCAGAATGATGTAAATGAGGGTATGTTATGTGCACTTTTGTTGCCATCCAGTACAGCAGCTGAAGAACTTCTCATGTTTTTGAGTGATGTGTCACAGAAGTCACTTCTTCATGGGAATCTGTGCACTGTGTGATCCAGAGAAAGGCTGGCTGGCCAAACAGTGTCACCTGAACTAAACAATGTTTCTCAAGTGTGATAAAATTAACAACCACATTAAATTTCCTGCTCTTACCTCATATCTGTGTTTAAATCTCTTTAAGAACATAGACACAGAATTTATACGCTTTCTCTTACACACCAAAGAGAGATGATCTCTAAAGAAAGATCACTTGTTAGGGGGTTGAAGTACAAGAGCTTCGTTAGAGATTTCTTTGAGAATAGCAGTGACCATAGGCAGCACATTTTGGTGGTACTGATTGAGTACCAAAAACTCCTTGCTTGTGAGATCTATTCAACCTGTTTTATAAACTCAGTCACTTCAAAGGAGAAGCACAGCAGTGTTCAAATCAAGAAAGTGATTATAGTAGAAGCCAAACTGGAAATATGGGAGCAATGAGCAAACACTGGGATATTTAATGTTTCAAACATTAACAGAGATTTAGAAAAGGGGGCAAATCTGGGGCTTTCTTTTCCCATCCTGTGCCTCAACACCTTCCTCAGCTTTCAAAAGATTTCAAGCATCACTTCCCAAACAAAAAGGCCCTTGGACTGAGAGAAGGGGGTCCATGACCCATCTGAGAAGAAGCTACATGATACAGCATTAAGCATGCTGGAAAAGGATGAACTATTTGATAACACAAAAAAATGGTCTTATAATTTTTTGAGACAACTTCAAGTCTTAACACATTCTTAGGTTGCCACAAAAGCACTGAAAAGTTTGCTTCTATTTGTAATATCTGTTCCTTTGAAGCAGGATTTTCTGCAATGACATCCACCAAATGTAAATTCTGAAGTACATAGGATGTAAAGAACAGTGTAAAATGTCATATCTCCTGTTACCTCAAAGTGGGGCCATCTAGTTTCAAAGGAAATAATCTTAGTGCTCCCACACATTCTGCATTCTATATTTGTTTCATTAAATTTTAAATAAATTTCATTCTATTTAATAATAATGAAAATGAAGGACATAATAAATATAATACACGTGAATCATCTAATCCTACTCTTATTCATGATCATTATAAATATTATCTTCTCCAAGCCAATAATAAAATGTTTGTATACTGCTGATATATGTTTACTAATCCAATCATATTATATCAAATAGCACAGTATTTTAATTCTCTGTGGTATATATAAAAGCCAAAAGTGTACAGAATGAAGGGAAATGGTGAATGCCAGAGCTGCGCAGGAGTGTGGAGGCATTGTGTCCTCATTTCACACTCATAAAATAGAGTAGCAGAGGGACAAAAAAAACTGAACACAGCCAAAACCACAAGTGTGCCTGAAAGTAGTATGAGTAAAAAAGGATGTCATGTGCATTCAAATGAAAAAAGTGGGGATGAGGATAGGTAATCCCCAGAATAACTCAATTTGATGACCTCCTTCCACCACAGAAATTCACAGCCACAGTGAGCCACTTTGCCTCTCTCAAAGTACACAGACACCGAATGAGCCTCAGGACTCTCATCCTTCTGGACTGAGGAAATACTAGGCACATCTTACACAACATCCTGAAAGCAGAGCCCTAAAAGTAAGAGACCACACTGCACATTCTACATGACCATGGAACAAGAAAATGAATAGATTGGAAGACACAAAGAATGAAGCAGGTGATAAAAAAGGTAGAGTTGTCTTCTACAAAAAGAATATTAGTTCAGTGAACTCAGTGCAATGTACAATTTCTCATCATATTTTTATCCACCTTTATCCTGACTTCCAAATCAATCACAAAGCCAATAACTTCTCACTGTTAAAGAATTGTTACTCCAAAACCATGGAAGATTTGAGAGGGCAGCCATGAAGTTAATGAAGTGGAAAAATCATGAGTATAAAACTGAAATTATGTCTCTTACCTTCTAGGCATATGTAAGGCAGCTGCCATGGAGAGTGGAAACATGAGCTTTCCCAATGTTTTTGTTCTGCTGGGCTTCTCAGAGTTTCCCTGGCTGGAGAAGCCCCTCTTTGCAGTGGTCCTAGTTTCCTACATCCTCACCCTGGTGGGGAACAGCTCCATCATCTTCCTCTCCCTGGTGGACCCCAGACTCCAGAAACCCATGTACTTCTTCCTGGACAACCTCTCTCTACTGGACCTCTGTCTCACCTGCACCATTGTGCCCCAGCTTCTGGCCAACCTGTGGGGACCAGAAAAGACCATTGCTGCCTGGAGATGCATCACACAGGTCTATATTTTCAGCTGGACAGCTTGCACTGAGTGCATCTTGCTGGCTATGATGGCCATTGATCGCTATGTGGCCATCTGCCGGCCACTAAGGTACACACTCATCATGCGTCCCTGGGTGTGTGTGCAGATGGCAGCTGCATGCTTATCCAGTGGCCTGGCCAGTTCTCTGCTCTATTCCACTCTCACCCTCCAGCTCCCCTTTTGTGGGCACCACACTCTGAACCACTTATTCTGTGAGGTGCCTGTGCTCATCAAGCTGGCCTGTGGGGACACTTCAGCTACTAACCTGGCCTTGGCTTTGGGAGCCATTCCTTTTGCCCTAGTGGCTCCTCTCACAGTGATCATCTCCTACACCTTTATTGCTAGGGCTGTGCTGAAATTACCCTCAACTGAAGGAAGGCACAAGGCATTTAGCACCTGCAGTTCCCACTTGCTGGTGGTTACCATGTACTTTGGCCCTTCCATGTACATGTACCTCCAGCCCCCTGCCCACAACACACAGGCCAAGTTTGTGTCCTTTTTCTACTGTGTGGTCACCCCAGTGCTCAATCCACTCATCTACACCCTGAGAAACAAGGATGTGAAGACGGCATGGAAGAGGATCCTGCAATCTCAGGGTGGGGTGCAGTATTTAAAATCCAGATGCAAGACAAAAAATTAAATAGAGCTGCTGAAAATGAATGAGGAAAGAATGTTTTCAGGAAGGAAATGGTAGGGGAAACAAACAATAAAGAAGGAATATATGTTATATATAGGTACAAATTCCCTGTGATGATATTTTGGTTTTGTTTTGGTATTGGTTTGGTTTTTTGTTTTTTGGGTTTATTGGTACATTTTAGGTATACGGTACAGTTACATTCATTATTGAGATATTGTACCTTTACATGACAGGTCTTGGTTCTCATTTTTCACCTTGTCCCTCCCCTCCCCATTTACAAACACTTTATTTCCATCTTTTCATTTTCTCACATTTTTGTTTTTTCCCTTATTCCCTTTACCCTACCCTTCCCACTTTCCCTACAACTTTAGCCCTTTTCTTCCTATTTCACATTGTCAATTATCTCATTAGGATCTTATGTACTATTACAGTTTTTCACATCAGAGAAACTGTTAAGTATTTACATGTGTTACTTATTTATTTCACTTGGGAGTATATCCTCCAAATGTATCCATTTTCCTATGAATGAATCTAATTTCTCATTCTTTATGGCTGAGTAGTATTCCATTTTATAAAAAGCCACATCTTCTTTATCCAGTTTCCAACTGATGGGAAATGGGCTGTTTCCAAGTTTTAGCTATTAGAAACTGTTCCTCTATAAACATAGGTGCACATATATCACAGTGATATGACTTTTATTTCTTTTGGAAAGGTACCCAGCAGAGGGATGCCTGGGTCAAATGGAACCTCCAGTCCCAGCTCTTTGAGGTATCTCCATATTGATTTCCATGGTGGTTGCACCAGTCTGCACTCCCACCAACAATGGAGAAGGGTTCCTTTCTCCTCACAACCCTGCCAACATTTGCTATTGGATGATTTCTTCATAGCAGCCACTCTTTGTGGGTGAAGTGAAATCTCAGTGTTATTTTCATCTGCATCTCTCGAATGACCAGTGATGTGAAATGTTGTTTTTTCATATATTTGCTTGCTGCTTTTAATTTTTTGTCTGAGAAATATCCGTTCATTTCTCGTGAACCCATTTTAGAATCAGGTCTATATATTTGGGGGATCTGATTGGTTTGAGTTCTTTACATACTCTAGATAAGAGCCCTTTCTCTGAAGAGCAGCTGGTAAAAATTTTTTCCCACATTGTAGGCTGTTTTTTAGTTCTGTTGATGGTTTCTTTTGCAGTGCAGAAGCTTTTCAATAAGATGAGATCCCACTTGTTGATTCTTTGTGCTAGTTCCCATGCTACTAGGGATTTGTTCACAAAGTCTTTTCCTATGCCAATGTCTTCAAGAGTTCTCCTTAACTTATCTTCCACCAAGTTTAGTGTTTCAATTTTAATATTTAGATCTTTAATCCACTTGGATTTTAATTTAGTGCATGGTGAAAGATAGGGGTCTAGTTTTAATCCTTGGCAGGTTGAGATCCAGTTTTTCCAACATCATCTATTAAAGAATTAACAATGTGAAATAGGAAGAAAAGGGCTGAAGGTGTAGGGAAAGTGGGAAGGGTAGGGGAAAGGGAATAAGGGAAAAGAAAAATATGAGAAAATGAAAAAAATAGAAATAAAGTGTTTGTAAATGGGGAGGGATGGAGGGGGTGAAGGGAGGGCAGGGACGAGGGGAAAAAATGAGAACCAAGACCTGTCATGTAGAGGTACAAGATCCCAGCAATGAATGGAACTGTACTGTATCCTTAAAATGTACCCATAAACTCAATTAAAGCTGGAAAAAACAAAACAAAACAAAAATAAAATGGCAGAGTAAAACCAGCAGCAAAATACAGCCTGTTGGTTTCCAGGGACCTGGAATCCAGACATCTAGTATAGGAACGGCATGGGTTCTGTTGTTGCTGTTTGTTTCCTTTTTCCTGAGGAATTAAAAGTAGACCTCCAGAAATCAGGAAGGAACTGACAAGGAGAGTAGAAATACAGGAAAACTGAAAAAGCTGAGTGCAGTGCAGAGACAGTAATGAAACAGTCTGAGATGCTAACTAACCGCAGGTCCCACAGAGAGGTCCTGATACACTAATCCAGGTTTAGCATGAGAGATCGTCAGCTCCAGGGAGAAGCAATGGACTGGGCTGGAAGTGCCAAGTCCCAAGAAGCCCTCCGTTATTGCAAACTATAGAAAGAGCGCGGGTTTTCACCTGAACATAACGCCTCCCACATGGCAGTCTAGAGTGGGAGAAGTAATCCAGTGCAAAGCCCACCATAGGGGAGGGATCAATGAGGGAAAGGGTTACTTGACCAAAGCTGAGCTACAGTGCCATCTTGGGAATGATTCTAACGCTCAAGGAAGGAGGCAGCCCTGCAGGGGACAAACTCCTGGGACACGCTCCCCACATTCCCTCCCACCCACTGAGAAGTAAGGGAAATCCCAGCATGAGGGTGCACTACGTTTAGGACACAGGGAAACTGTGGACTGTAATCAGAGACAGGGAGAGCCAGCAGCACAAAAGTGGGTAATCTCTCTCAGCACCCTCCCAAACACTGGGAATACCGTGTTCCTGAAGCATCCTCCCCATCATTCACCCATTCGGGACAAAAAGGGAAGCCCCACACCCTTGGCACAGAGAGGCAGAACACAGGGAACTGTGGGCAGCCCAGAGCTCACTGGGAAGGGCTGGGAGATCTCATTCCTGGAGACACTGGGGAAGGGAGAGATTTGCTGGAGCTGGACAGAGTGGGCCCTTTCCCGTTGTTTCCCCAAACACCAGAAAGATCTGAGACAGTGTGAAATCCTTCCCACCACCCACGGCCCCACATGGGAAAGGAGGCCCTCCGCTGAGCCTGGGGACTGAGCTGAGGTCCACAGGTTGGAAATGCTGCAGAACCCTGTAGTCACATTGCAGTCCCCACCTGCCCAGTATATGATCCAGGCCTGAAAAATAGAATATACTAGGAGAGTGAACTAAGAGAGAGAATGCAGGCTGCCAGGCTGACCAATGCCATTCCAATGGACAAAGGTGCTGGTCAGTCCCAGGCACTGACTTTTACAGGCAATCAATAGGGGTATATGCAATGTGTGGTTTCTATGAAAATCAATGTAAACAAGGCTCATAGAGGACAAGACAATGCATTCTCTAATTAGGAATAGAATAGACAAAATGTGTGATTGTTATTGGACATCATCCTTCTAGTCTGAAATTTTTAGTTATGGGAACAAAATTTGGGTGTGGATTACTCTGATCTCATGTAGGCTTCAGCCAGAATCACTTTTATAAATAAGCCAATTTGGGGATTAACTCTTCACACTGCTTTTGGCTTAATCAATATTACAGTCGTCTGCATCTCCCCCTTCTCTGTTTAAAAGCAGAAGCTGCATTGGTCCAGGGATTTTGCTCAGTGGTGCTCCTGCTTGCCTCGCAAGAGCAAGGTCCTGAGTTTGATCTCCACTACAATAAAATAAATGAATGAAACAGAAAATAGAAGCTGCATCAGGTCTGGTGATCTTTGTATGAGGCAGAGCTGTAGAAGTTGAAGGGAGTCACTCAGATGCAGCCTTTGCATGGCTTTCATCATGGTGTCACATCACGCTGCTTAAAGCAAATCCATCTTGTTGGTCCATGGTTGTATGTTCTGAGACAATGGCCACAACATTTTTTGTCTCCCATTGAAAAATAAGCACACCCTGGCCCCTGTATTATTAAATGTGTTGAGCCGTTTACCTTTTAGTTAGGACATGCTTTGACAACACTAGTGTTTAGGACATGTCTGTAGATCTAGCTTTGTATATATTTACTTTCCATAAGTGGATTGAAGGAATTTAAAATTAAAATAACAAAATCAAATTGAGTTTATGGATGTAGCTGTACCCCAACATTTTTGTTTTTGTAATTGTGCTTTTAGGGAAAGATGAGTACCTTAAACAATGGCTTGGCCCTATGAGTTATCCAATGGATCTATGTCACAAGGACTTATAATGCATTTAACCAATTTAGCTGTCTACTATAATTTACTTTATAAAGAGCAACTCCAACTCGGGTTAGGGGAGAAAGGATGTAGTTTCATTCCAACTGCTTCAATCTTAGAATGTCCAATGTAGGGAAGACTGCAGTTAGAGGCTCTCCTTGGAGAGCAAATTTAATAGGCCATTAATAAAAATCATGTTGTCATTTAGCAATTATAAACCCTCTATATATAAAGTCAACCCGGTGGATTTTGGTAAAAAATGTTTACTGATTTGTTGCTGATTTTATCTATACAATCACTTGGAGTTTGGCAGCCATAGGCAAGAGTAAACAAAATATTTTAAGATATCAAGTCTTTATAATCAAAGTATAAGTACTAAAATAAAAAAGCAGGTTGGGGAAAGAGCCATATTTAGAAACTGCTTTTAAAGGACTAAAACCGTGATTGTAACCTGCTGGCTCTTAGGTCATTTTATTAATTGAGGTTATCTATAAGTCTGATATTTTGTCATAAATTTTCTTTTAATTTTAGTTGTAAAAATTGAAAAAGTAATGCCAGTTATAAAAATAACTCCAATAAATTTTGACCTATTTTTACCAAATACTGACATTTCTCTTATCTCCCTCTCTTCTTACTGCCTTACCTCCTTCCTTTTCACCATCCGCCTTTCTTCCCCTGTCCTTCACAGTCCAGCCAGGCTGCTGATAGCAATATGGTACAGTCTGTGAGGGCTAATGGTGAAAGAGAAAAATTATCAAAGCTAGTTCAATCCCCAGTACCAAAAGAAAAGAAAAAATTATCAAAACAAGTTTTAATGGTTATGATTGATGTGTGATTGGGTCTGTGGATGCTGTTATAGCCACAGGAATTCTCCCCCTCTAAGAGAGTGACTGGATAGGTTAAAGTGGGAGACAATTTCTCTGCACAAATCAAAGGAAAGCTGTGTCATTCAAAAACACAACCTTAAGAGATCGTCTACCAACAACAAGCTCTTCTCATTGTATTTGACCTCAACCTTCAGCACAAAAAAAAAGGAACATGAAAAAAGAAGCAACAACATTTTTTCAAAGACTTCCAACTCTCC